GTTCCATTCATTTCACATATGTAGATGTCAGCTGGGAAACCATCTTCTATCTTTCTCAATCCACAAGAGGATTGCTTATTTTGAAAATAAATTAGTTTTTCTAAATTACCTGACAATTTTATCTTTCTGTACAAAAGCTGTGATTATTTAACTGCTTGTGAATTCTGAAAGTGTATTTACACTTCCTCTCACGCATCGTAAGTGTTCATACATCTTCAAGCCAAGTACTACATTCTTCTGATTCAGGCTGCCACCTTCAAACCACCCACATGTGGTGGTTTGGTGTATTCTAGGGAGATAGGTTTTTAAATAAACCAATCCACAGACACAGATGAATAAAACAGATTGTAGAAATTAAGAACTGATTTGCAAATTAAGTTGGCAGGTTTGAAGCTGGAGTTTGCCACTGCCAAGGCTGGTGTAGGTTGCAGGTCATCCTGCCTCTTCAACCTTGAGCAGTGTTGTGTCTGACGTTCCTGCAGGGCTTTCTTCGTCTTGACTGGCAAGCCAGACTTCCATGAGCCCTTTTGGCAGTCTACTACAAACTCTTGCTCAAACAACTTCTCTTATCAGTCATCTCAGACTCCGGGGCATCCTCTGAGTCAGCCTCAGGCCACTGTCTCAGGCTTTGCTTAGGGATCAACTCTTCTTCCAAACAACGACATACGGCCAGACATGAGAGCGACCTTGCGTACTGCCTGCTCTTCATCAGCTCAGTGCTTTTTGTACCTTGCAGAGATTATGTTTTGTTTCTTTTATTCTCCATCCCGTTTTCGCCTCGTCACTTGCATCTTTGTTGATGTCTTTCCGTGTCAAAGCTGGTTTTGGTTTGTTAGTCAGTTATACAGTTTGTGCCGGCAAAGGACTCTTCATGTTTTATCCTGTGAAAGGATTTGGGATGTCTGATCCCATAAAGATTTATACCTGTATTTAAGCTAGCTAAAACATGTACAACTTTGCAGGGTCAAGGCCTAATCTGCGAAATAATCTGTTGGAAATTGGTGTTAAATATTGTCTTGGTAGTATATTTAGGCTTTTAGAGTGTTTAATACTTTGAAAACTGCTTAACTTAGCAATGGATAGCAGGTACTTTAAAAGTGGAAAACATGTTTGTTACACAGACTTTTAAAATATCACTTATGTGACTGAAAAGTATTACATTAAAATAGTAATTTTATCCATGCTAGTTTATTTATACAGTTAAGGATTTGGTGTTATGAACAGCAGGTTTGTGCGTTCTGTATTTCTATGAGTTTCAATGGAAAGGCGAAAAATCTACACTTTACAGCTTTCTGCAAGAGAATCACAAGAATACATTTGAGCCGTTTCTTGACTGACTTGAATAATTAGAAAGTTTGTGGCTGACAGACTTTGGTTTCACCACTGATTATTAATAAAACATTAGAAATGCACAGTAGTCTTTAAAAAAAGACATCTAGAAATCTGCCAGTTAAATCAATCTAACGCGAATCAAACAAAGCTCATGATAGAAAGGATAGCATAGAAAGACTCATTTTTACTTGACTTAATAAAGGGGATTATTACTCAATTAAAGTTTGGATTTTTTTTCAGAACAGGGTTTTTTCCAATATGTTTTGACAGAGCCTTCAGCTATGAGAAACTACTGACTGTAGATATTCTCTGCCAGAATGATGAATCTATTTCCAGTAAGCTAGTTGCTTCATCTTGTTGGATATATTCTTGGGAATGTATCACGTAATTCCCTTAATCCAAACCAGTTGTGTACATATTTTGTAATTGATGAATTACTGACAGTAAATAAATACTCATACAAAATCAAGTATTTGTTAAAGAAAAAAAAGTACTGTTTAACAATTTTCCTACCAGAACTTAGTCTTGTATTTACTGTGTCTTTTCACATGAACTACTGTCATCTAAAACTGCTGTTTACAATTATTACAACATTGAATATATACCATCTCAGATAAGAATGCATTTACATTGTAACTGTATGTCAAATACTTTTATCAACACAGTGAGTAATACCAGATCACTAGTCCTTGAAATAACATGTCATTAAATTTGTGAAGATGAAACAACTATTCTTCCATCAAATTCTGCTTTACATTTAGATGAAATGCCTTGGTTAAGTAATGTCTTTGAAGACTGGGTGTTACTTCCTTTAGCTCTGATTGTAGTTGGCAGGCATTATGTGTTCTTTGTGTATTACCAAAACAGAACATCTATCTGCAGTGTACTCTCTGTCTTGTCTTCATAAATGGATGTAACTTTGCTGTGTGGGATGTATTTTGGTGTGTTGGTTCCATTTGATTAATTGGGTCTTACTGCTTTTGCGTGTGCATAGATCTTATTCCTACTACTGTATATATATGATTGATGCACTGAACTATTGGCTTCTGTTCTGTGAATATTAATCAAAGATTATGCTCCTCTGCCTGATGACTTTGCAGTGTAGGAGGCAGCCAAACAACATAGACTATAGTCCTCTTTTTTTGCTCTTTAATCATTATTGTGTAAGACACTGGCAAGAACACTTTTTTTTCATCTATATAAACACTATTTCATGCTTAAACATATCCATTGTTTGGTCAAAGTTATGAAATTTTCTTGCTCAATTAAATTTTGTTTTCAACATTTCCTGGTGAAAGCAGTAATAGAAGAGAGAAAGCAGTAAAGGAAGGGGAGATAATTAAGCAGAAAAAATGCTAGGCATAGCAAGCAAGGAAGAAGTAGACGAAGTGGAGTCAGTAAATTCAGCCTCATATGGTTTCAGGTCTTACAATTTGGACAAGTAGTTTTCTTTAATCAAAAGGCAAACCTGATGCTTTTCTAGATTCCATTACTATGGTGAAAGAGATAATTTATGAGTGAACTATTCTTAAAGAGAATCCAGGTAGACATTTGCTATGTTCCGATGTACACTTAAAATCTGTATAAAGATAGATGATGTTGACTGGGCTGTGGCAGCTTCTTTGGGTGAGAAATTAAAAGAGGTTTTCAGTATTTAAAACAAAAAGCCAGTAAATGTTTGTGGTGATGGTGGTACAGTTCAGTATTGGAAGCAGCAAGCTTCTTGAAAACACAGCTCACATTTTTATGGCATGTATTCTTGATATAAAGGTTGATAGCTACAGCTTTAGGCATTCTCTGTGAATCTCGCCAGTGAGGCAGCCAAAGCTAATAGGAAGTCTTAGGCTTCAGCATTTGTAGTATTTTACCAAAGGTTTTGTTTTAGTCTCTCCCCCTTGCCCCTTTCATAAAAATGCCCTAGAGTAGGGGCTTTCACTAAATTATGCTGTTGGCAAAATTTTCCCCCTAGCTCTGTCACTGGCTTAGCTGTACAACTAGGAGAATTAGCAGAATTTATTGAACAGGAGTTCCTCTTGCCGTTGCCTGTTGCCCTTGACAATGGTCAGCGACAGCCTTGCTAAAAACCTCTCAGAGTGGTAGGGCCATAAAGAATATCACATTATTTGTATTTACTAATGATATTGTTCTACAGATTTTATTTTAACTGTTATGAGTGTAATAATTTTTTTAATTCCTCTAGTTTCAGCCCAGAAAACATATCTCAGTTTTTGTTATAGTTCATGATTTTGTAATATTCTAGAAAGGCATAAGGCAGAAATCCCCCAAACCTTCTGCATTTTTGGGTGATGTAATATGTTCAAAGGCACGTCTGTGTTTATGGAAATGAATACAGTAGTGCTGAAGCTTGTGATTCATAAAAAATAATAGTTGAAAGCTGAATCATTGAATCCCAAAAACTTCATGTTTGTTTCCAGACGGTTTACTTGTCTCAGAGATGTGTTTAAAGTACTTTCAGGAAACATTAGTAAGAGAACTGAATGGCTTCAATAAAATACTGGCTTAGGCCACCATTTTCTAGTGGAAATTAATCTATTTTGTATTAGTTGAACACCCATTTATCCAGTGTTGTACCACCTCCCTTTGAACACCTCCTGAAAATATTCCTTTTGCATATATATTTATATTTATATTTGAATATCTTAACATGCTTTTCCAGAAATAGCTATTTGGAAAGAAATTTTTACTTACAGACTGTCTACATAAATCGAGTATTTGTTTCAGATCCATGTCAAAACAGTAGACCTTATATATTTTCAAAATCCTTTTTCCTGAATAAAGGCCATTTCCACTGTTTTAATTCATACAAACATCTGCTTCTGTGATTTGAGTCTATTTCTTCAGTTTTAATAATGATTATTCCCACATTCTCATTATTTGTCAATTCTGGAAAGTTAATTGTTAGTCCAACTAAGCAATCTTCACGTTTGGTTAATGTAGTTGCCACTTATTGACCTTCTGAAAGTGCTGATCTGCCAAAGAATTTTTAACGAAGGAAGAAAAGCTAACTAAAGTTAGGTGCCTTTCTCTCTGATCCACACCTGCCATTGTCCTTCCCAGTTTTTGTAATCAAGCTTTAAGATTTTAACAATAATACAGAAGTAAAAAGAGACAAAACCATGGCTTTTTAAAGACCTTGTCTTTTTTTTTTTTTTTTTACTTTAGTTTATGTATAAATTTTTATTGTCCCTAACAGGTGCAAATTTTAGCATGGACTGCAGTCATGTTAGAGTATATATTCTTTCTGAATATAGTTCTTAAAAAGTGTTCTTATTGTGGTGATTAATACTATTAAAATATACAGATTGTTAAAAGAAGCAGAGTTTTTGGATATTGTAGTTACTGGCAAGCAGTTTTCCTTCATCTTTTCACTGATATTGATAAGATGATTTGTCTGTAATCTAACAGAATATCTGTTAATATTACTTCTCAGTTATTTACATGTCTTTTTAAGAAACAGAGCAATTTATTTCATTTTAGATGTAGTTTCAAAACTGAAGAAGGCATTTTTTGTAAGATAGTTTAATTTCTGTATGTTCCTATAATTGTGTATGGAATTAAGAATGAAAATATTTGAACTGAACATCTACATTTGTGGTATAAATGGATGGGAAACTAATACTTGCATTTTCTCTTTTTCTAAACTTTAGGGGGGACACAGAGATTACCTCGCACCATTGGAGTGTCTTTGGCAAAAGAACTAATCTTCTCTGCGCGTATTGTAGATGGTGAGGAAGCAAAATCAATAGGATTGATTAGCCATGTGGTAGAACAGAATGAAGCAGGGGATGCTGCATACAGAAGAGCATTGGCTCTGGCAAGAGAATTTTTACCTCAGGTAAAACAAATTATTTTTATTTTAGTTTTTACCAAACATCAAAACTGAAAAAGAACTAGCTGTATTAAGAAAAACTCATGAAGTAATGTATTGAAAAGCCCGTCTAGTTATGTGCAGAGCAATCAGAAGTTTTCTCTCTCACATATTAAGTGGTGTTATTTGGTAATTATTTCGTAGTGAAGTAAAAAACCTCTTTCAATCCTCGTATCGTCATGATACGGTCTGTGTTTGTACTGCATGTTTTGGCTTTAAAGTTCTAAACAAAAAAATAGTGTAAGGGTTTGAATTGTTTTATAGTAAAGCAGTTATCTCAGGTTATTCTGTTGCTATTGAACACTTCAGAAGACAGGCAAAAAGGTCCATATGAAAGTGGGCGTATCTCAGTGTAACTTCTACTTTGAAAGCATAAAGGTAAATGTAATTTCAGTATTAAAGGAAAACCCATTTACTAGTGGAAAGTTTGCTTTCTGTCCTTTGTGTGTAAGCTTGATGAAAGAATCATGCTCTTACTATCATTCATTCTAAGTGACATGCTATCTCTGTCTTTAATAAAAGAATTGAAATGGGATTTGCTGAAGTCCTGTGCTTTATAACTTGAAAATTTTAGTATGAGGTTTAAGTATGACCCTTACAGGAGTCTTTGTGTTAGCTGATTGCTGCCTGTTCCCGTGTTGCCACAGACTGCAAGTTGTTCGTTCAGAGTAGAAATGTGAGTTTGGACCTTTTGATAAACCTGCTTTTCAAGTGAAGGGTCCCAGGTAGCAAATTCATAGGAGACAAAAGAAGAAAATAATTGGTGAACCATTATATTGGATCACAAGTGTAACAGCTAAAATTTTTCATTGAAAATGGAAAATGTTACAGATTAAATATGGCATTTAACATTGGTTATTTATGTCTTGTACACCCTCATAAGAAGACAAACACGTAAAATACAGTAAAAATTTCAACTTAACAGTGACTCTGGAAGGTTGATATGCATTGGAACCAGCTCAAAAGCATTTGGCTATTCCCAAAGCAGCAGGCCACTTCTCTAAAGCAATGTCTCAACATGCAGAAGCTGTTGCTGAGACTATTCCCAAAGATGTCTCACTGTTCTGTGACACATTGGAGGAGGAGGGTGGAAATCCTTCAGCTTGTGGGGGACCTCACGGAAGAATGTCATCACTTGACCAGCGCAGGCTTTGCAGTAGCATATTTTAGGTTTGAAGCTGTATCAGTTAATTTTATTTCATTATCACATCTTCTAATGTGTCTCCACTGTGTGATAATAATAGGGACATTAGATTGACCTTGCAAAGGCCTATAATGATGTCTCTTAAGGTGGCCATTCTGAGCCTTGTTTTGAAGGGAACTGAGCAAGCTTGACAAAAGTGGACATGCTTAGCATCTTTGAAACAAACCGAACACACTGCTTTAATTATGTTCTTTCGAAAACAGTATACTGTCACTTTTTTTCAATATTGAAACTATCCATTTGGAAGCAAGTGTCTACTGTAGTGATGTTATTTAGGATATTTGACCTATTTACTGTAAATTAAATAAAAGTCCAAAGCCTAGAAGGTCCCAATATAACAACATTGAAGTGTAGACTCTTCACTGCATAATCTTGTCCATTTTGATTATTTGTTAATCTCTTTCTTTCATTCTAGGGACCAGTAGCAATGAGAGTTGCAAAACTGGCCATCAATCAGGGAATGGAGGTAAGGATCTGTTCCTTCCATAAGAGTATGCAGAAGTCAGGCTGGCAACAGGTTTACTGTGGTGATTTTTTTTTTCTAGAACTGTTTTTATTTTTTTAACTTCTTAAAATATGAATTGCAATTTTTTAAGGTCTCGGACTCCTGACACTAGAGTTGATGCAGATTTCTTTAATGAGGCTTGGTAACCTCATGTTGGTCCAGGAGTAGTGCACTCTGCTAATTATTAATATTAGAAAGTAAACTTAAACTCGTATGAACAAGTTGTATTTCAAACGCTGGGTGGAAAAAAACCTAAAAGTCATACTCTGTCAAGTCTGTCAATGCTGTCAGTGTTTAGTAGCTAATAAAGTAAAGGGCTAAAAGGCATGTTATTTATTTTTGATAGTTTAATAGGGATTAGTGTTAAAACTGTATCTGGAGTCTGATTTCATATTTCATTCTGATTGCCGCTCCTTCTTGAACACTACTGACCTAGCTCTAAAGCTTGTTAAAATCCAGCCCTGAACACATCTGAACATGTGTTTTATTTTAGGCTTGTGAATCATTTTGCTGAGCTCAGCAGAATTATTCATATTTAAAATTAAGCCCTGCACTAAGACACCTTATAGCTCAACCTGGGACAAGGGAAAGGGATCACATTGCATGCAACATCTGAATCCAAGAAGACACATTTAAGAATGGTCCTATTTTTCTTAAATTCTCAAAAGCAACCAGTGACATAACTGAGTTCAGCAAAACGTACCACCAGTAAGTTTTGGCCTGAGAACCAGACTTAGATGCTGTTGTGCAAATTTGTTAGGTTTCCACTGCAAGTAATGCTAGAATTCAAGATTTATTTCAGTGGTACCCAAGGTTCAAAATGCTACAAGCTAAATTATTTAGCTATCAGGTATAGTGGACTGAAAGGTCAAAGTCATGATGTTTATAGAATTAGGGACAAAAGGGTTAGAAAGGCTCTGAATGATCATCTAGTTCAACCTTGAGGCCCCAGGACAAGATCTACTGTGTCAAAACCAGTCATGCCAAATGTTAGTTCAAGCTGTTGTTACAAACCTTCCATGGCAGAGATTTCACGGCTTCGTTTTGTAATCTATCCTATAGCTTATCTCCCCTTGACAAATTGCTTGTGGTGCATAGCCACAGTCCTTTCAGTGGCCATGTGTAGAGCTGGTAAGTTCTGCAGCAGCTGGTGCTGGAGGAGTAGTGAGGGGAAAATTCAGCCTTTTCAGCTGTTCAGAGCAGCTCACAAAGAAATAAATGTTATTAAGACTAGATGATGATGCAGGATGGCCATTGGCCTCTTTTTTTTTTTAATTTTAAATCCCTTTAAACTTGAATTTATGTTTATTTTGTGGCATGTCATCATGTTCTTATATGACATTTTCAAGATAACTTGTTTCAGAACAATTTTTAAATAATCATGCAGTACATTAAATCTTTTCCCCAGTAGTAAATGAAATGATTACAAATGTGCAAGTAGCTAATGTTTTTTAGTCCAGATGATTTGTAGTGAAGAACATACGTTGTTTTGACAGTGTATTACATACTAATTGTATTGCCAAATAAGGAAACTGTTACAGAAATAATAACCACTCTCACCACATGGCAATATAGCATTTCTATGTTAAAGTAGTGTAGAAGAACTTTGCAGAAGCGTTTTAATATGTGGCATGTAGAAACACAGTATTTAAGTTAGCTGTCAGAAAATAATATATAATAAATATTCTAAAACATGCTTTTAAAAAACACTGTATTCTTTTCCTCAGGTCGACTTAGTAACAGGTTTAGCAATTGAAGAAGCTTGTTATGCTCAGGTATGTAACTATGATTACATGAAAAAAAACAGAAAACAGGCTTTGTTGGTGCCTGTTATGAAACATGCAGAAATTCAACTAGAAATTGCTCTATGATTTCTTATACAAATATTTTGGCATTGTAATTAGCCCTTCCTTCTCCTTACTCTGTTTTTGTAAGGAATTTAAGGAAGGAGGTATAGTTTAGGACAAAACCATCTCCCTGACAAGACTTTTAGGGTGAGGGTAGTGAAGCACTACCAGCCAGTCATACACTGCTGTGCATCTAGTCCAAGAATTGCCTTGCTTTTACTTTGTTTAGGTTTAACATGAAATAACATGAACGGCACTTCACTAACATGTGCCAGCAATGGCATATTTGCTAACCAACAGAAAATCGAGACAAACATCTTTGCCAATGAAACATGGGAATGACGTATTTTGAGTTTGTAGGTTCTTGGACTTTGAGGCAGGTTTTTGATCATGGAAATAGAAGCAACAGCGTTAGATGCTTATTTAAAACATATGGTGACTTGATTAATAATCTACCCTCCCACCCCTCCCCCACCAAAAAACCAAAACCTCAAAGACAAACACTAAAGAGTTTCTCACAATCAAGAAGATACTTCTTCTTCTCCCTGGTTGTTTCTCAGCCTTATATTGTGCCTTTGAAGTGTCTGGTACTTTCTTGTATCTGACTAGGCATTTTAGTTTTCATTTTTCTGTTGTATTATATGTTGCATGTTGGATGCATTGAAGAACTATGATTTGTATGAAAATATTTTTCATGGTATTGTTTTTGGTGTCAATAATTAATTGTTCCTCTGCTCATTGCAGACTATTCCAACAAAGGATAGAATTGAAGGTCTTCTTGCATTTAAGGAGAAGAGACCTCCTCGCTACAAGGGAGAATAAAAGAAGCTCATGCCTTTAAAATACAAGGGGATAAAAGTACTGCTGTGAGGACCATTAAGGTGCACTTTGCATCTGCACCTGGAATATCACAACCACCAAAGTAAAAGCAAATCATACCAATGTTAAATTTTGAATGTGTCCATACTTGTACTGGGCCCAGATGGAAATGTGTGTTGACTCATGCTCATTACACTTTCTGAAGGCTGATCTGTGTATTGGCAAGGTAACATGTTCATGCAGCATTTTTAAAACTTCATATGTATGAAACATACCATTCCACAGTTCAAAAAGCTCTGTAAATTCTTTATATAGACAAAACCTGTATGTGCTGTTAAGATAAACCTGCTGTATCATTTTATCAAAAAAAGTGACTACCAAAAATAAGAAATCATACCAAATATTCATTAAAATGATTCTGTGTATCAGTAAAAGTAATATTTGAGTATTCTACCAGAATATGTACATTATTAATAAAGCTAAAGGAAATGAAAAGGATTATTGTTTGGAAAATGTTAAGCTTTATTTGTCTGACTTACACTATTCTAAGTATATCTAAATTAACTTTAGCACATAATGGTGTCCTTTTGATGAAGTCATTGCCATTATATTCATTTTATTGTATTAAATGAAAACATCTTCGAGGCCAGCCCTTAATTTTGCATTCTTGTATGTTAAACCTGGCTTTGTCTTGCATTCTTCCAACATACCATCTGATCAGTGCTGTCTGCTGTGAAGGAACTTTATTTCACTTGCCCCAGTTATTTTAAATTTTTGATGACTGTGTTAAAGATTGTTGTGCAGGGATGCAACTAATGCGCTGCTAAAGAAACTAGATTTCTCTTAATCTCCGGAATATTCTTTTTGCAGTTCCTAATAATGTATATTTATATACAACAGGGATGACACTGAAATGTTCTTTATTCTGTGGCAGCCTCAGGGTTCCTTTCAAATACTGAAAGAGAAATCCAGTAGGTTTCAAGGTGAGAAAACTGTTGTGATTCATACTGTATATTTGCTGCGGACATGGCATATACAGCAAATGCCTGGAAATAACCTCTTAGAAAGTATTTTTGTTAACTTGACTGGAAAATAAACATGGCTTAGCAATCAGAGACTGTCTTTTTATATGAAAACAAATTTCTTTGTGTTTGATTATCATTGGCTCATGGAACTTTTGCCTGCTCTGCTGTTTCTGCAACATTAACTATGGTCACTGTCCATATCTATGATGATAAAACAGCTGATCAACATGAAATGACAAGAAGTCATTTAAATTCATATTTAGACATATCATTACATGTAAATTGTTTATAACTGGTAGAGCACACACTTTGTTGACTGGTAAACTTGCTGAGTCGATCATTTCATGCACGATAATTTGCAAATAAAGTACCAGTGCTTGTTTTGATAGTCATATAAAGCCTAGAGGGTCATTTTCTCATGTTTTTGAAATGCTAACATGTCATTTTCATTTTTACTGAGTAGGAAATAATTATGTTAATAGAAGAGAAAAATACTAAGTCTATGCTGACGGGTTTCTGTTTCATAACTTTGATATACAGTCTGGTTATTGAGTTACCTCTGTTTTTCTAACAGGCGCTAATCAAGTAGCTTCTGTGAATGTCTATTTAAAAAAAAATCCAGTAAGTTTAAATACTGTAGCGTAAGACCGTGTAGATTCGCGCCTTTAGCTGGTAGTTTTGATCTCAGAAAATAATTTTGCTGTCACAGTGGTCTCTCCATTCCTTTTCTCAGAAGATACTGCCATATCTTAGTAATTTGAGTCCCTTCTTTGAAGTCAACTGTTTGAATATTATTACAAAGTGAGTACCACTAGGACAATTTTAAAGGTACTTTCTAGTGATGTTGAAATAGTTCTAAAGGAACAATATTTTAGCAAAACATGTGTTAATCACTTACCGTCTGTGTTATTAAGTGATGTGTTATGATGGCTGAAGTGCTCGTGATTAATAGCAATATTAGAATTCTGCTTCCACAGGAGGGTGATTTGTAACAAAAATGTTCTTATAAAGGCTGACTTTTCCTTATGGAAGTTGTGATCCCCTTCAAGCACTTAGGCTCAGCTCTTGTCAGTTCCTGGTAAAGCCATGCTTTTCTCTACAATACCTCATGGGTGAGTGAGCCGTGGTCCCTGCTGGTTTTCTGAAAGGTTATCTCACGGTCCTTAGGCATAAGCAGCTTTTTCTCCTGGTCCTGCTGAGCTGAAGTTCTTCTTCACTTCTCCACTGAGTTGGATATTGAAAAATTGTAAAACAGGTAGGTTTTACCTTTAGCTGATTACTTCTCAACAGTGTTAAGTGCAAGTTCAACTTACTAAATTGCCTAGAAATTCTCAGCTTCATGCAGAAATTAGCATGTGACTTTATATAACATGTCATTTTAGCCAGTAATCTATGAAGGCATTTGTGTTTTCAATATTATTGAAGTAACTCACATTCTTACTAGTTTTACTAGATTTCTGGATAAAGTTTTCAGAATTGTCTGAATGGCTTAAGTCAGTTCAGTGCTTTTGAGTATCTCCCCTGCTATGAAGAAATATGGTCTTTTATTTATTCTAAGGTTGTGTAATGATACAGTTAAGAGCACTTGGAGGGTGTTGTTCTATGGAACATTTCTGTGAGATTTGCAGAGCCATTTGTGCCAATTGTTGTTGAAATTCTGTCAGTCTACGTGCAGTTACTCATAGGCCTACACCAAGGTTCATACCTGTTTTTCTAGAATTGCTTTTAACCAACTGCATTCAGAATAGTAAACATCAGGATGTATCATTTGCAGCTGTTTTATATTTTCCTCAGTCATTGCTCTTTGATGCATTTAACTGTAATCAATCAGATTTGTTGAACAGAACAAAAAATAATGGGTATCTCCGACACAGGAGAGGGCAGAATATCATGCTACTTGGGATCTGGTTTGGGGAGACTTAGGGAGTAAAGTAAAGGGTTTGGTACTTTTGTCACTTCACATATCAAAGCCAACTCATAGATGCAAAGTGAAAAGAGTAATTGAAACATCTTAATTTATCACCAACTTAGTTTTTGTTTCATTGCTCTTCCATGCCAGCAAATCCCTGAAAAGGTGTCTGCGGAGATTAGAGTGAGGAATTGTTTACAATTAAAAATAATATAATTGAAAATCATTGGTATTTTGCATGTGTTGAACAAGATGTGCTGTCATGTCTCGTTTGTGGGATTTTAGCCTTGTTCCTGCACCTGATGACACTGCTGAAAAGCCATAGGGCTTCATTGTCTAGTGAGGGTGATACAATCAGTGTACACGAGGTGTGATAATGATCCTGATGATGTGGTTATTTTAAGGTGTTCTTTTTCTGCACACTTTTAGAAAGACAACTATCTCAAAAAATGAGAAAAAGGAGAATAATTGCAAACAGATAAACCAAAAGGAGAGATGTGTTCAGCTAAAGGTAATGAAATTCCTCTTGTGTATTTTGAGGGATTGCAAAGACTAGTTTTTGTTTGTGCCTTTTTTTTTTCCATTAGCTTTTGTTTTCCCTGAGTCTGGAGCTCAGACACCAGGGTACAGGGAACACTTTTTAGAATTTGTATGGGCTAGTTCTAAAAATTTTCCTAAAAGGTTTCTGAAATGTGTAATCAGAAATTATCATGTTATCACCAAAGATTAGGTAACATACCTTTTTTATTACAAATTTAAATCAAGTTCAGTTTCAACCTTGGAACAGAGTTGAATAGAAGTTTCCTTAGCTATGGAGAATGCACTGTGTTTATGCCAGGTATTCATTATGCATTATAATATATATATTTATATACTGACATGCCATATGCATGCATATGTATGTGTATATGCATATGTATGTGTGTACAGTTAAATAAAATACTTCAGACTGTCAGACGAGACCAAACCCCCTCAGGATGTGATAGTACTGTTGTACTGCAGGAAGTTTTGAGTTTGTTTGTGCAAGAGCACTGCCAGCAAAAACCTTGAACTCCACACAGCAAGTACGATGGCTGCTACAAGTGGCCATGTGTATGGTGTGGAAGTTCTGTAACAGAGAAATTCTGCCACAGAAGCAGCAGTCAAGGAGTGAGGGGATGCACATGCATTACCATATATCTGGTTGTGCACATCTGATGGTTCAAGGCTAGAATAAATGGAGCAGAAGTTCAAGTGAGTTCTAAGTTTCAACAAAGGTGTGGCATCCAGATAGCACATTCCTCCCGGTCCTATAGTATCGTTTGCTTCTGCAGTTTGGACAGGCCTACAGCAATCATGAGCAACTCATTAATCAACAACTGTTGTAGATTTTAAGATCAGTCTCCTCCCCCCTTAAGTACGTCTAGACTTAGATTTCATCTTCAAATTTTATCTAGTAGATAATTCTTCCAAGGACACTCATTCACATGGGAAGAAATATGAAGTATGTTAAAAGAATTTATTACAGAGGGTGTGAACGTTCTGTGTCAAAGCTAAGTCCTCTTGCAATACTCGAGTTCAAAATAGTGCATTAACCCTCTAAGGCATAATCTGTTCATGTATGTTTATAGACTCTTCAAAGTTCTGGCTAGTGACTACTACTCTTTGATTATAATTTCTGAAGCATATGCTAATAAAGCTTTTGTAACATTAAAGAGATGAGAGTATGTTGCAGTTTTCTTGTTGCATAATACAACCACTTTCAGAAGAACTTGAAAAGTTTGCTATTTTTTTAAGGAACTTATACATCAAATTGTTGCTTCTTCATTCTAGCAACTGCTAATTGATTTAACATTTTCCCTTAAGCATAAGGGATTTTGTGATATCATCTTTGGCTCAATTCATTTTAGCATGTTAAAAAAAACGATGCCAGTTGTACAAATTCTTAAAAAATGTGTCTCTCTCATGCAGCTTAGAAAGACAAAGGTTAAAATTTTAATTGTGAGGATAGAGTTGTGAAGGTTGTGTTTTCATTACATATAAATGTTAATAATATGGCTGTATGCTTGTGTGGAAAGAGTTAGACTGCATTTTTTGTGTAGTAAGTCTGTACTGCTGGGACTGTTCTCTTCAAAACTGGTCTGTAGCTGAACTATTTTTGTGAATATATGTAAGTATCCCCAGCTATTGACCACTCAGGGTTCCATCTGTGGTTCATGTTGCCCTGTAGTTGTCATCTTTTGGCCAGGCTCCCCTTCCAAGTAGTGGTGAAAGGAGGAGAGTGCCAGGAAGCACGCTTCTGAGAAGCAGTGGGTCTAGGAAGGATGGATGGGAGAGATCGTTTGTAGGGTGTGTTCAGGCTCTGTGTTTAAGTCACAGTCCACTTCAGCACAGTAATTTCTAAAACCTTCATGAGCAGCTCCACAAAGTGGATTTTTCCATATTGGTTGGTTACAGCACCTGAGCCTATACTCTAATGACTAGTGGAGATCATAACATCCAAACATGATTCCTAGACTATCCATATAACGTCCAAAAGGAGGTAGGAGCCACAACAGTGGCATAATAGGAAGGGTTCTGCCTAAGTTCATAGAATCATAGAATGTTTTGGGTTGGAAGGGACCCCTAGAGGTCATCTAGTCCAACCCCCCTGCAGTGAGCAGGGACACCGCTAACT